GATGATGTCCAACTTTGCGTCGCGCCGGCGTGCATTGTTAAGCGATGGCATCCACGAACTGTCCAAAAACTGGCAAGGATCTCTCAATAACATTGCTGTATAATTTTGATCTTGTACGCCTCTCTGTAAAAAGAAAGTCTAATTTGAAAAAATGTGACAGAACTTTCCCGCCAACCTAATACAATACGACTGTAATATATGGCTACAACTAATACACCAACATCAACACAGACCAAGGCCTGACAGGAATGAGCCTTCTGTGCGAGATATAAATAAGGAAAAGGCTTCCCAGCGCTCCTAAGGCAGCTGGATCTTCACTGAAACATTTTTCACAGTCCACGACCCCGGCGATGGGAGAATCGTCCACCACCGCTCTGGCGATATGCCGGCGCGGTTCGGCGTTTCCGGGGAGTGTTAGACGCGTATCGCTTTCACTGATACCGCCCGGAAGAAAAACGCCAGAGCGGACGGCGTTAGCGTTTTCGCGCAGGCGAAAAAATCGCCTGTCGATACCTATCAAAATATTTTCGTGGAAGCGTTTCTTTCGCTTTCGCTTCGCTGACTCCGCAGGTTCACAGACTGTGAACGATGCCTGACCACGCGAATAGAGCATTCTCACAGTTATAAGATTTCAACGTTCCTTTCGCTGGTTCCAAAACCTTCTCGCCAGAACTCCGAACTCAAAAGACCAACGCGAGACACATCGTGCATCGTCCACTTGTACGGCGCTTTTATATTTCGCGCGACTTCGCAACCCACGTGCTTGCACTTCGGCAGCTGAAGTTCTCATGCTCATTGACCTCTCTTTCTGCAGTTATACGCTACTCCGCCCAAACTTTTCGCACCATTCTGCAGCGCCCTCTTCCTCGCTGTCTCCGTTTCACCACTACGCCACCCGACCACACACTATTTCTGGACTGGCCGCCCCCCCCCGCCCCCCGTGCGCTGAGCCCGCACAACATATGTGTGGTTTTCATTTTCAAAGCGAAGAACAAATTTTTTGTTGACATGCCCCGTCAAATCTTGCATGCACTATTGAAATGTATCGTCGGCTTCCCCCCTTGACGCCTCTAACGTTGTACCTCACCGGACCAGCATACATTCAATATTGCATGAACATTTGACTGTCAAAAAAATTTGTTCGCGTTGAAAACCAAACATGTTGTCCTCACCAACGGCCGACCAAAATAGTTTAAGCTAGTGTAAACAACACAAAGAGCGCTCAAATGTCAAAATGTTCTGAGTACGTATAACCTCAAAAAGGTCAAACTTTACGATAGAGCTGTCAGCTGCCAGATTGCAACACTGGGGTTGCCGAATCCCGAAATATAAAAGGCAGCCCTCGTACGCCCTCACGGAGTCATAGAGCGTCGGCTCCAGTCGATGGGATGGGTTGGAATGTTGGAGCCTGGGTTGCGCAGAAGCCCTCAGTTGAATTGAACAGGTGCACGTTTGCAAGGTCAAAATTCCCTCCTTCAAATAGTTTTGAATCGATTTAAGACCTTACTAGTTCTCTTTTTTGTCGGTCCACGTCCTGGATGGGCGTGGCCCAAGTTTACGGTATCGCAGGAAGCTGGCGCAAGGCAAATGGAGTGACGGTACGACAGGACAGTGGTAGTGAGTACTCACCATGTGATGGTCCACCCCTGACCGTCCTCCACTTTCGTCCGAATTCCCCTTTTCGCTTTGATGTTGGTATAATAAATATGTAAAGCCTGAACTCCTTTTGTATTCAATACCGCTACACACCTTCAGATGCAGGCGTCATGAACCTGTAACCTGATATTTTTCGACCTTGCGCTTCCCCCGTTTCCAACGGCGTTAGCTACTCAAGGAAAGTAAAAGTAAAGTGAAAAAAGGATAAGAATGTGAGACTAGAGTACTGTGAAAGTATTCGGTGAGATCTTTCACCTTTCACACCATGTTGTGTGATAAAATAGCCTCTGGAGGTATCAAAAGCTATGTTGTGTCAATCTAATATATAGTGGCACAAGTGGCGACATTTTTGCTCTAAATTTAATGCTTAGGGAGATTGCATAGTGTGAAGAGAGAAGCACTTTATTTTAAGCAGATTCTGAGGTTTTTTAGACTGTGGTCACGTGGAGTCCGGCGCCATTATGTTGTTTGATGCACTGGTACCTCTGGCCATCCTCAATCAGGGTGTGACCGACAGCAACCTCAAAAGTTATGACTTCCAAAAAAAGCAACATCAACATATACATTCCCAATAGGAACACAATTTCTGATTCACTTTATCGTGGCAGTCTTTTCAGAGAGAGATGGAATATGACTCGTAAATGGTGAGAGGTAAGAGAAACACCTTCGAGAACCTGTGCGTACTATACGACCTCGCTTGATATCCAGCAAATTATTCTTTTTTCATTCCGGCGAGACGGTACTTTCTAAAGGTTGGTGCAGTAGAATTAGTATCGGCGCGGATTTTTTCCACTGTCACATCCAAAATATGTTTTAATCTATTGGGTCGGCCCAAAGTAATGGCGTTTTTCTTCTCACTTGAAATATCGCGCTGAAGATGAAAAGTTTTGCCATGAGTTTTATACCGTTTTGCAGAGAATTCCTTAGCCCTATACGACAGTCTTCTTAGTTTTCTTGAAGTTTCTCTTTCCACTAATATTTAAGTGCTCAAACTGGAGTGTCAGGTCGACGAAATTGAGCATTTTCGACAGCCTCTCTTTTTTACCTCTAATTAAAAAGCTCGAACCGCACAGGCTCAGTTGCTAAGTATATAGCCAAGATGCTATGTCTCTTAGGAATGCTTACAGTAGTTTGAGTGATTCGAAGATTTCAGTTCCGACCTCATAGACAAGCATCGAACCTAATGCCCTATTTTGTCCAACTGAGAGCTTACGGAATTACCTCATTTACGGAGAT